AGAGCGGCTTACAAACTCCTTTCCCTTCCCCTCCCCACAACAGACACACCCTGTGAGGTGGATGGGGCTGAGAGAGCTCTGACAGAAACTGCTCTTTTTCAAGGACAGCTGTGCCAGAGCTTGTGACTGACCCAAGGTCACATCAGCAGGTGCAAGTGGAGGAGTGGGGAATCAAACCCGGTTCTCCCAGATTAGAGTCCGCACACTTAACCACTACACCAAACTGGGAAGGAAAGGAGACTGTAAGCTGCTTTGAGACACATGAGGCATGCTGGGTGACCTTGGGCCTGTCACAGTTCTCTCAGCCCCACCTGCCTCACAAGGTGCCTGTTGTGGGGAGAGGAAGGGAAGGCGATTGTAAGTTGCTTTGAGACACGTGAGGCCTGCTGGGTGACCTTGGGCCAGTCACAGCTCTCTCTGAACTCTCTCAGCCCCACCTGTTGTGGGGAAAGGGAGCTGCTCTGAGGCTCTTTAGGACAAATAAAAGTGGGGTAGAAAAACCAACTCTTCTTTTTTCAGAACTGCCTTTGCAATTTTTATTTCAAGGTAATATGACAATGATACCATTTAAAATGTTATCCCATAATTGTCACCACGATCTATGGGCTTTTGCAGTTCCAGTTTTTCCAGCTTCTTTTGGCTGGAATCCCAACGCTGCCTGGGCCGATTCACCTCTCCAGCCTTGCCTCCGGGGCTGATGTCACTGAGTCAAAACTAAAATATGGGAGGTAGTTCGGCCCTAGAGTGGGAGTATTCTGTGCCAACTGAGGAAAACTGCAGATTCACTTTTTATTGGCGTTCTCAAAACCAGGCGGTACACGGAGGGCTGCAGTCTTCAGAGGACAGGATGAAATTTCCCCTTAAACTTCTATTTTCATATTTTAAGCTTCAGCAGTAATTTACCCTAATGAACGAGGCCGCGTTTAGCTAAGTTTCAGTGAGGGCACCTCTTGAGATGCAGTTCCAGATGGAAAGGTTTTAGTCATTTCTAAATTTTGTTACTTTATCATAGAGACAGGGTGATACAGCAGTTACACTGCTAGATTAGGATTTGGGAAACCCGGGTTCAAAATCCCCATGTAACTATGAAGCTCATCGGATAAACTTGGGCCAGTCACTTCCTCTTGAGTCTAACCTACAGGGTTGTTGTGGAGGCAAAAGGGGAAACCATATACACTGCCTTGGGGAAAAGGCACGATACAAATATGGTGGGATAGATATTTATCCCATTCTCCTTCCAAAGTGCTCTATAAAGCATACAGTTTCTCTCCCTCCAATTTTATACACACAACAGCCCTGTAAGCAGGCCCATAGCTAAAGCTTGGCCCACAGGGGCCCCTAACATTTCTTCCATGGCCCCCAACCTGGGCCTTGGCTTCTCCTCCCCCTGAGCTCCACAGTAGCTACATGCCTGTCGGTGAAACAGGGGCTGCAAGATCATCTCCTGGCCAAACTTAAGAGGGAGTTTTCCTTCAACGTTCTGCAACCAGGGAGAGGCGGGTGACTCTCCCCATGTTTGCAGAAGGAAGAAGCGATCCTGTGTGCTGGGGGAGGCGTGTGTGTGTGTGACTGACAAGCGGCCTCACCAGTGCCTGGAGTGGAGGGAGGAGGAGGAAGAAGCCCAGGCAAGGGAGCTCCCCCTCCCCCAGCCTGAGCCACTAATGGGAACAGCTTGGGGAAGGGGGGAGGGATCGTCTGGAGGAGGGCGGGGCCTGGGCAGGCTGTTCCAGAGGCCTTCCTAAGCAGTCGCCTGGAGCGGGCGCCAGCAGGGGAACCCAAGACGGCCACGTTGCAAAAGTGTGGGTGAGGCCGGGCAATCCTCCATGCGCCTCGCAAGGACGTCATTGCGCGGGACAAGGCACAGGATTCCAGCTGTGCACTCCGCAGCTCTGAAGTACGCTGGCTTGCCGTTGGTCGATCGGCCCCATCAGTCCGGGGCGGGGAGGAAAGAATGCGCGTAGCTCCATACAGACATATAATGGCTGCCACCCCCCCCCGAGCAAACAATTGCCCACCCCAGCAAAAAGTTGCTAGCTATGGGGCTGCCTGTAAGGTAGGCAAGGCTACAAGAAAACAACCAGTGAGCATTACAGCAGAGTTGAGATTTGAACCTTGGTCTCCCCCAGTTGTACTGACTGTCTAGGCTCCTTGCTCACCAGCCAATCAGCATCTCACCCTCCCAGTGAGCTCTCCATGGTCCTGACAGCTTGCAGATGACCCTGGACTCGCGCCCACACCCTGACATGGAGCTACCCCAGGTCCCGGACTATTTTGCTACCCACTCAGACTCCTGCCACATCTTGATAGCCCGTTCCCGCAGACGCCATCCCGAGAATCAACTGCCCTGTCCTCTTAACTTATTCAAAGGAAACTTCTCCATTGTGCCATTGACCATTCATCAACACAGCCTGCTTTTCCATCTCGTTTTTCTTCCCCTCCACCCCAAGAGGGAACAGTTCATTCCCTTGGCCAGAGTGAGTCACAGCCATTAGCTGGGTTCCCAAGGCATTTGGATTAAGTCTCTGTGGTTCAGTAAGAAGTGTGACTATGCCTCTGCATATTAAAGAGGCGGGGGGGGGGGAATGATGCTTCCCTCTTCAAGGAAAACACGGCATCCCTGGAAAAGCAACAGAAGAATGCACTCAGCAGCTGAGGCTACCAGGCAGTGTGCAACGGATCCAATCGCCGGCACCTTGCATTCGAAAGCAAAAGAGGCATCTAATCTTTCAGGGGTCACAGAAAAGCTTGACAAGGACACAGAGCTTTATTTTTAACAACGCATTAAAAAATTGTATCCCTCCCCATCAACCAACAGGATTGGCGACAAAAGAATAAGAAAATCTTGCTGACAAAGAAGAAAAGATAATTTTTTTAAAAAAAACCTGCATATAGAAACACAGTAAAAACAGGAAGCCTATGAAGCCATTTAAAAGCCTGGACAATGCCCACATCAATACAGTTACGAGCAACCGGACGCTCATATTAAAAAAGAAGGCACACGACCTTTTCTGAAAAGGAAAGCCACCATCTGCCTAACGCTAAAGCATCCGCTCAACAGAAATGAGAGTTTCTGGATGGAATATTCAATGGCCCTAATCTCTCATGCGCACTTTGCTCTTTCAGCATACATCAGTGTTCAGCAAAGCCTTCCTCAAGGTTTCCTTTGAAAACCCTTGATCAAAAGACTGAGTTCTGCAAAAATGATCAGCCTTCTCTTTCAGTCAGAATTCTAGAAGTGGAGCAAATGCCCACCACACTGCCTCCTCTGGGTAATCTATTAAAAGCACAAGAAGGTGGAAGGGTTTCAGCACAGAACTTTGGACTGTCTGTCCAACAGCTGTTCCACCCAACGTTCATGCTGATGGGCCACATGGCTTATGCTGGATTTTGGCTCACTGCTGGCCCAAACTACATGTCGGCCCAAACTGAAAATATCGAGACGGTGTGCGACTGCAATAAAAAAGGCCAACGCTATGCTGGGGATTATTAGGAAGGGAATTGAAAACAAATCAGCCAGTATCATAATGCCCCTGTGTAAATTGATGGTGCGACCTCATTTGGAGTACTGTGTACAGTTCTGGGCACCACACCTCAAAAAAAAAACAGGTTGCTTACCTGTAACTGTTGATTTTCGAGTGGTCATCTGTGCATTCACACCTCTGGGATATAGTGCGCCTGCGCCGACCCCAATCAGTATAATGGAAAGCAAAAAGGATTTTCACACCCGCTCCCCAGTAACGTGCCGGGCTCCACTACATATGACTAGGGGGAAGGTACGAGGATCCCACCAGTTCCTTCTGACCACTGCCCTCAGTCTCCAAAGAAAGGACAGGACTGAAAGCAGAAGGGAAGGAGGGCAGGTGGTGGAGCCCAGCACATGACTGGGGAGCGGGTGCGAAAATCCCTTTTGCTTTCCATTATACCAATTGGGGTCAGCGCAGGCGCACTATATCCCAGAGGTGTGATGCACAGAGACCACGAAGAAGATAGGATGTTATAGCATGGGAAAAAGTGCAGAAAAGGGCAACTAGAATGATAAAAGGGTTGGAACACTTTCCCTATCAAAAAAGGTCGAAGCGCTTGGGGCTCTTTGGAGAAACGACGGCTGAGGGGTGACATGATCGAGGTTTATAGGATTATGCATGGGATAGAGCAGGCAGAGAAAGAAGTACTTTTCTCGCTTTCTCACAATACAAGAACTTGTGGGCATTCAATGAAATTGCTGAGCAGTCGGGTTAGAACAGATAAAAGGAAGTCCTTCTTCACCCAAAGAGTGATTAACCCATGGAATTCACTGCTACAGGAGGTGGCAGTGGCTACAAGCATGGACGGATTCAAGAGGGAATTGGATAAACGTAGGAACAGAGGTCCATCAGTGGCTACTAGCCACAAGGTACAGATAGGAACTCTTGGTTTGGGGCAAGGGATGCTCTGTCTTCTTGGTGCTTGGGGGGGGGGTCAACAGTGGGAGGGCTTCTAGTGTCCTGGCCCCACTGCTGGACCTCCTGATGGCACCTGGTATTTTTGGCCACTGTGTGACAGAGTGTTGGACTGGATGGGCCATTGGCCTGATCCAACATTGACTTCTCTTATGTTCTTCTGTTCTCTTATGTTCTTATGATTTTCGAAGCGGCACAATTATACATTAGAGGCCTTTTTTTTTTTTTTTTTTGCTTCCACTTTCACCCAGGCAACCGGCCCTTCTGAAAGTGTCCCCACACAACAGATTCATGCGTCATAGTCTAAAACTGGCTGTCGTTTCAGGATGTGTTTTTGTCATGCAAAGCGGTGATTTTTCAAGGTCACTTATCTCACTGCCAAATTGAAGAGATGTGATCTTCACAGAGACCTTCCCCATGAAAACAGTTGCGTGAACCAGCTGCGCATGTGCAAAACTGTGGTCAGTCTTGCCTGTGGTGTACAACATGCCTCTGAAAGCCAATGTGCCATCTGTTTTTAATGCTAGAGATACTGAGCAAGAGAAATCTTGGGTCGCCTACCTTCCGCGAGGCATGCTTCTCTGCACTGTCCACATCTCCATCCAGGAATGGCATTGCAAAGGAGCTAAGATCCTAGAGCAAAAGAGAAGGAAAAGCACAGTCTTTAAGGAGCCGTGGCTCAGTGGCAGAGGATCTCCTGGGGGCGCAGAAGGTCCCAGGTTCAGTCCCCAGTTAAAAGTTATCAGGTAGTCTATGATGAGACCCGAAGAGCTGCTGCCAGTCAAAGGACAATACTGATGTGGGTGGACCAAGGGTCAGGGTCAGGGTGAGGCATTTTCACATGTTTAAGGAAGCACTGATAGTCATATATCCGTCTTGCCTCAACTAGGGCCAGGGATTTTTCAGCCCTGCCCCCTGCCTGGTGGAATAAGCTACTGCATGAGATCAGGGCCCTGCAGGACCTGTTACAGTTCTACAGGCCCTGCAAGACGGAGCTCTTCCACCAGGCCTATAGTTAAGACAGCGGGCATCCATTTGATCTGGCCTCCCCCCCCCCCCCCCCCCCCAGCAACCGCAGTTCCCAGAAGCCAGGTGGGACCACAATATTATCCACTGAGGCACATTATTATTTTAGCCTATGGTGATCTTATTGACTTTAAAGGGAGTGTTATAATATTTGTTTTATTGTAAATCTACTTTAATTGATACCTGAGTGATCTCTCTGCTGGGCTCTGGGGACAGTTGGAGTCCCATCCCCCTTCCTTTCAGTTCATTCTCCTTCTAGAAGGTTCCAGGCTGGATCTCTCTCCTGCGGCATGCTGAGGAGGATAACCTGGTGTTCCCATCTGGCTCCCCTGCATAGCCCCCAATATTTCATACTCCTAAACTGCAAACACGCGACACAAGCCAAGCATCTGTTACGCTCGACTCCGCTAGCCATCTTCACGCCCTGCAGGAGACGGAAAGTGTTCAGAGTCATCCGTGTGACAGTCTTAAATTAAATTCAAAGGAGACTACTTTCTTTCTTTTTTTTGTCTCCCAGTTCAATACATTTCCATTCGCCGGAGCTGTGCCCTTATTAAATCAACTCACAATACCTGACCAAAAGCTGGGAGCGAGAAGTTGTGTTTGCACTGATGGGTTAGGGGGAAGTCAGACAGCTTGGAGTGATCTACAGGAGCTATACTGAGGAGACAAATATGCCCAGCCATCCTTAATTAAGGGAAATAAACTGCTTTGGCATTCCTCCTCCTGCTGCTTGTCGTCGGATGAATTTTCACAGTTAATGAACAACTTGTAGGTAGGCAGCAATGCTCCCTCTAAGCTATGGAGTCTTGTAAGCAAAAATTCTACTTTGTCAGCTACTGGTATTAAAGTTGTGAGCGGGCGATTTGGCTACTGCATAAATTCGTTTGCTCTGGAGCCATCCCTTCCTGAGCTAAGAAAAAAAGGTGTGAGCCGGAGGCTAAAAAACTGGGCTCACGCCAACTCAGCTTCGAGGGAACACTGGCAGGCAGTACGTTCTTATTTAAGAAGTGCCAGTTGAGAGCTAGTGTGGGGTACAGGCCGGGGGGGGGTTGGACTTAACATGGCAGGCTCCTAAGTCCCCATTAGGCCTTCATGACCCTGGGGTGGCTGTGGGCAAGCCCCCTTCTCCACCCAATTTACCTTTCCTTGGCAACTGGAGGGCTCTAATCCAAACCTGGTCTTTTGAGGGATGCTGACTGGTTGCCAACACAGAAGCAGAAGAATAAGGAGAAATCTCTAGGCAGCAATCCACATGCTGTTCAGCTCCATGATCATTTCAAAGGGCGTTTTCTTTCCCTCTTACAAATGGCAGCCAGAGGGGCTGTCCTGACTAGGGGGAGACTAGCCAGGTAAGTGTGGGAGAGCTTCTGGACAAGGTTCTGCTTGTCCTGTGCCCCTCCCTGAAAACCACTCTCTCCAAGCAGCTTTTATTTCCCTCTCAGGAAAAAAAAAATATGGGTAGCCATAGGTTGGACAAGGAAGAAAGCTGACGGGAAGAAAGTTGGTCCATTTGAAATATGGTGCCAGAGGAGAGTTTGACGGATACCGTGGAGGGTCAAAAAAAGACAAATCAGTGAGTGGGTTCTAGTCCCAAACTGAACTCTCCCCAGACACTAAAATGCCTCAACGGAGGCTATCAGACTTTGGTCACATTATGAGAAGACAAAGAGTCACCAGAAAAGACAACAATGGCTAGGAGAAGACGGAAGGCAGCAGGGAAAGCGGAAGTCCCGACAGGCCCTCGGTATGCAAGACCCGAGCAAGACTATCAACGATAAGGGCAACCCTAGAGTCGGATTTGACTGGCTTTCGAGCAAGGGAACCTTTACCTTTACCTTACAGCTAAATCACACAGGAAGCTCTGCCTTAAACTGGGAGGGGGCAGTGGCTCAGTGGCAGAGCATCTGCTTGGCATGCAGAAGGTCCCAGGTTCAATCCCCGGCATCCTCCAGTTAAAGGATCTGGCAGCTGGTGACGTGAAAGACCTCCGCACCACCACAATACTGACCTTGATGGATCAAGCGTCTGATTCAGTATAAGGCAGCTTCATATGGGTTCGATACATTTTGCAAGAGATTTTTATAGCACTGAAGGTTCAGGAACATCACTAGAAGAGCACACCTAACCTAATTAGAAAGCCTAGTCTTCTGAAGTGTGTGTGTGTGTGTCCTTGCGGTCCTGGAAGTCATGGAGACTTCTGGCAACCCCTAGTGGAGTTAAAGCCGTTTTTCAGAGAGTTGGCTTGATTGTCTGCCTCTGCCTCCCAGCCCTGGTATTCCTTGGAGGTCTCCCTTCCAGTTACTTGCCAGGGTGGTCCCTGCTTAGCTTCTGAGATCTGACGAGATCGGGCTGACCTGGGCTGGCCAGGTCAGGGCCCTCACAGGGTTGTTGTGAAGACAAAATGTACACCACCCATGGAAGAAGGAGAAGGTACAAAAACGTACCGAACGACCAGACGAAATAATGGAAAACATAAGAAAAGACCAGAGTTATGTAACTAAACAATCAAACAAGGATGGAAAGACACAGAGACCCACATGGCGTTTGGGGGGGGGACAGCCTCTCAGGGGACCCAATTAACGCCTCTTGTAAATATTTACTTGTTTGCTTCATTTACATCCTGCCTTTCTTCGGAGGGGGGTGGGGGGGGTGGAAGGCAGCTGACACAGTGCTCCCCCTCCTCTGTTTTCATGTAACATTCAAATTAACCTGGCCAGTTGCACAGGACTTCTCGGCATTTTATCCCATCTTTCCAACAGACCGGCACACCTCAAGGGGACCGACACAACTGAGCTGTGGGTGAGGCAGTTGGGAGCGGTTGGTTCTCAGAACATCTCAGACAGACCTGTGATGTCACAATGATCAGAAGGGTGAGGAGGGGAGGGAAATGGTGTGCGTGGCGGGGAGGGGGGGTTAGGACTGGAACCTCCAGGTCTCTTCCGTGTCGCGCTTGACAGGCCTTTAGTATACTGAGAGCCAGTGTGGTGAAGGAGGAGAAGGAGAAGGAGATTTGGATTTATACCTAGCCCTTCACTCAGCATCTCAGAGCGGCTTACAATCCCTTTCGCTTCCCCTCCCCACAACAGACACCCTGTGAGGTAGGTGGGGCTGAGAGAGCTCTTGATAGAAACAGCTCTGAGAGAACTTGTGACTGACCAAAGGTCACACCAGCAGCTGAGCTTCACCTAGGGTTGCCAACAAGGCTGGGAACCACTGATCAAATGCACCTTCCCCCCCTTGTTCCTCAGGAATTGGTGGTCAGATATGCCCTGGGAACCAGGGGGGAAGAGACTTGGGAGCTTTGGCTTCTGGAGAAGAAGAAGGAGATTTGGATTTACACCTAGCCCTTCACTCAGCATCTCAGAGCGGCTTACAATCCCTTTCGCTTCCCCTCCCCACAACAGACACCCTGTGCAGTAGGTGGAGCTGAGAGAGCTCTTTTGAGAACTGCTCTGGAGAGAACAGCTCTGAGAGAACTGACCCAAGGTCACCCAACTGGTTGCATGTGGAGGAGTGGGGAATCAAACCCGGTTCTCCAGATTAGAGTCTGCCACTGTTAACCACTACACCAAACTGGCTCTAAACTGTGTCAACTGTGACACATCTGTGTTGGAAGTATTGAAAGATGCAGGTTCGAATCCCCACTCATGCCGTGGAAGCTCACTGGGTGACCCTGGGCCAGTCACAGTCTCTCAGCCTAACCTCCCTCAGAGGAATCCTTATTGCCTTGATTATAAAATCCACATTTGGAGACATGCTTGGATCTACGGCTTTCCATATATTCGGCTCAACTGCTGTCTCACAGGGAGTCAGATCACTGATCTATCTAATGCTGTATCTTCTCCTCTAGCAGGCAGGGTCTCGGGGGAGGACTTTCCCATTAACTGCGCCTTTTCACCAGCAGTAACGAGGACTGAACCTGAAACCTTCTCAGCACAAACCCGGTGCTCTACCGATGAGCCATGGCTTCTCTCCAAGCAACTGATGCTGCCTTTTACTGTCACAGTCCTGTTTTATCAAACTCAGGATCACCTCCCCTGACAGGCTCTCCACAGCCCTGGGCAATGAAGCCTCTCTCGCCCCACTTGCTATCTGGCAATTCTGAGGACAGAACCTGGGCGGTGACTCAGACAAAGTAGGTGCCGTAGCACCAGATCTGCGCTGCTGATCTGCTTCAAGGACTCAGACCTGTGTTATCTTTTCACGCTCCAGTTGGCGTCACAGAGCATTTTGGCTTCTGCGGAAGAATGACAAGCTGAGTTGCGAGATGCCAAGACGGGAGTGACTAACTAACTTTCCGAGGTGTCTCCAAGGGGAGTGGGTGGCAGCAGATGTAGACTGTTCCATTCATGGAAGCCAGAACTGTACTTTGCTGGACTCAGCTTGGGGAAAATGTCACATTTCTCTTTGTTCCCCTTGAAGCGTGGCAAGCCTCAAACAAGCACCTGGGCAATTCAAGGCGGCAGAAATTAAAGCCAGAGACGGTTGTCTCTAGGGGCTTCTCTAGGTGTCAAGTGTGGCAGAATTTGGGGTTCAGTGAGCCTGGGCCTTTCTGTTTTTCTGTGCTATGTTGGTTTTGCCATAACTGACTTTGGTTTCTTGGT